GTGCTCGTCTAGGAATCCGCGCCGTCAATTCGCTCGCTCGGCGGCCGCATTAAAGATTGTTCAACTCCGGTTCATTAGGTACTCCGATCTTCCCAAGCTGTATTCTCTATTTCACTGGAATGATCTGCCGAGAAAGTGATATTCGATAAAGAGGAAGCGGCTGTTATTTGAGAAGCAATTATTGTAAGAATGTTATCTTGATGTTGATAAAGCAGGACGTTTTATCCTTGTTGGATCTTTCCTGCGACTTTAGGAAGCTTTTAATTAGATGCAGAATACATGCGCGCGGCTGGGCGCACACACACGCACATTGTGGTATTCCATAATGTAGCTTTTTAAAGAAATTTTTTGAAATGAAATAAAAAAACTTGATATTTTAGTTTTAATTCAAAATATGTTCCCCATCGTTTGCAACTTATTCGCATCTTAATCTGAAATTTGTAACTTTCTGGCGATAAAAGTTTTTCAAAAAATAACTCTAGCTTCTTTTTATATCGCATTTGTAGAGTGATCCAACAATATCCGAAGACTGGATCTTTTTCATTTGCTGCTTAGCATTGTTTAACTATAAATTAATTCGGTATTTCTTGTAATAATTACTAGGATAGCATAATTCTTATTTTCTTCTTTTTGCTTTTTTAAATCTTTTTCCGACTGGCATCGCGCAAATTTCATGCATTTCTTAATACCGTCCGCTGGTTTGCGCACGTATTATCAATTTTCCATGAAAATATGTAGCACGACGATTTCCATGTCTCTACCTAACAAAAGGTTTGTTTTCTGTTCCTGCACTGGTGAACTCGTGCGATAAATTAGAGTAAGACAAGTAATATATTTTCTCATTCTAGCTTACTGCACTAGTTCATCAGTGCAGGAACAGAAAACAAACCTATTGATTATGCGTTACGGGAATCTATAGTTTGGGGTAATATCGGGGGAAAAAAATAATGTTATCGTACCGTCGTATTTCTATCGAATAGTTGCCATGGCCAAGTCCGGGAACTCCTTTCGATCCTCGAGGACGATCGGCCTCTAAGGACAATGATTATCTGTTTGATTACATTCATTGTCCGCGAAAATGGCAGGAAATTCCTCGATTACAGATTACCACCCTCATTAATAGCCATCGCTGGCCATTGATGATTGTTGTCAAGCGACTACTGAAATCCGATCAGTGGCATCTGAAGAAGAACTTGTACTAGAAGGAATTTCAGTCCCGGGACGCGGAAAAACACCGTGGGTCAATCACAATTGAAAACCGTATCCAAACGAGATACTTGCGGATCGTTTAACGATGGGAACGAGTGTAAATGGAATTCGTCGAAAAAGATACGAAATGAGATATTTATAATCGATTGAAGAGAATTTTTAGCCCCGGGACGTGGAAAAACACCGTGGGTCAATCACAATTGAAAACCGT